CGAGTAGAGGCAATACGTCGGAGTTGAGCGGCTCAGTGCTGACTTTAACTTTTGGCGTACATCTTTCGGAAGGTGGTCGTCCTTAAAAGATAGTTTGATATAAAGGCTTTCTGAGTAACAGTTGGCTATCGGCTATCTTTTAAGATTATCTACTATGAATATCAATAAATCTTTCGGGGTAACCGTTTCGTAGCAACGTATTCTTGAGGAATTCTGCTTCCTTTCTCAATTAATGAAATGTGAACTAATCTCACAAATATGGAGAACTATTCAATAATTTGAAGTCGATATGCAGCGGTTTACTTACTGCTCTAGGTTGTAAGAAACCGCGTGGAGGTCAACAGATGACGAAGAAGAAATGCACAGAGCGATTAGGTAGAATCGGTGTCTCCTGTCTTCCAGGTTTGGGTCCGAAAGACTGCAACTGGCTGGCTGGAGACGTTAAAGGATATAGTGGCTAACGGACAGCATTGGCGTTCTTGTTGTTATTTCTTATCAAGTCAGAATGCTTGAAAAGGTATGCATGAACACTTAGATTGTGTACTCTGTTTGTTGAACATAGAGGTTATTTTTCTTTGCCTCCCTCCAAGTAGGCCCAATCTCTTTCCACCTTGTGCTTTATCACTTGATTTGTGTACATTGTGAGCTTGGCAGCGATCAGTGAAGCTCGCTTTTCTGTATCTCGCTGTACGATGATGATGATGTTCGAAGTTTGCAACAATGCATTTCAATTTTGTCCTCTAGGATTCCACCCCGGGTTATTCCATGCAACTATGATTAACGACTATCTATCGCCTGATCGATCAATTCACAAAAAACACTGAATGGTGTGTTTGTTTATTAGTGGTCCACATTGAAAACTGTTGAAAACATATCAGTATCAGGACACTGGAACAACTATATGCTTCCCAAAATGTTCACAAATCGAAGTGAAATTTCTTTATTGCTTGATTTGTTTAGTTACTGAACCTTTTATCAACATATCTGAGCCCGTTCTCTCCGATTTTACCCCTGCAGCGCAAATGTATCGAATATGCACTGAAAGCCAGACCACGGCGTCGTTACATTCCAAAGGGACATTTACAATACAAGATATGGTCCGTTGTTGTGTCCAAGAAATTTGAAATTTTCATTTTCATCTGTATTTTCATCAACACTGTGGCTCTGATGCTCAAGGTGAGTTGTGCTGTCTCTCCAATGGATAACGTTATGCGAAATGCTCCATCGAAAAGGTAGGTGAACCCTCGTTTTTAAATCCTATAGAATAAATAGGAAATTCGGTCCTACAGGCCATTCTACAAGTCCTCATCAGAAGCTTTGTACAGCAACTTGTTTACTACCTGTTTCAAGTAGACTATACTTATGTTGCTTTATTACTGTGGAGAAGGTTCACCGGCTTCATAAAAACCAGGAAGTTTCATGGGAGTTTGATGCAAGATACTTCTGCAACCTTAACCGAATCTTTTCATGGACAATCCTCTAGCCAATCAAGTGTGGTCTACAATGCAGTAGTATTTTCTTGAATGGTTGTTGTTGGCTCCTTAGGTGCTCAGTCTCCATTCGACAGATGTGGATGCAACCCAGGGACCCATGAATCGCCGTTAGTAGGATAAGTTTCTTTGATTACCGTTGAATCAAGCAAAGATGTCGTTCATCGATTAAGAAATAGAGTATTTTGCGTGCATTATGGTATCTCCTAGGTTTTGAGACTTCGGTTACACTCTTCCTGGTTTAGTCTGATTGTTAAGCGGATTACCGGGGTGTGGCTGCTGATCTGTACTTCAGCTTCTTGGAGCCACCAGTGACAGCTAGTTCGTGGATGAAGTTCAAAGAGGTGAAACCAATGAACATAATTGTTTTCCGACTGAGATAATGCTCTTATCAGATAAACATTGTATTGTATTGTATTGTATTGTATTACACCACGAGTAAATTTACACCGCTTCTCTTTGTCTCAGTAAATGTTTTGCGCACATATGAACCATTATCAACCTTCGGGGAGCATAGGGAAAGCAAAAGGGCTTGGAGGCAGACATATGTGTGCATATTTTTTCAACGAAGAGATACTTTCTCTGACTTAGTTTATGACGCGTGTATTGGATCTATTCTTTAAATTTGTTCTTAAAAAACCTGGGTTTAATACGTTCATTATATACGCAGTACTTGCCTTGGTGACAAGAACCATTTTATTCAAATCAAGTAGGGAGAGTAGACCTGAAAAACGGAACATGAGCTTCATATAGGGATAGGTCGTGTTAAAGATCGTGGTAGCTAAACTTGCCATCCCGTCTTCGGGGGCGGGGAGGGGAATTTAGGACTTATTTTTGTACAGAATTATTCAACAGTTTCTTCCAGCTACTGGTATCTAATTCGTAAACCCCATGTCCTCATGTTTTCTCATGGATTGCAACAGTGGATTTGCACAGCGCCTGCTGTGCATTATGAGTATTACACAATTTGCGCAGTTATAGATCTTTGAACAAAATCGTGATTTATTCTGATGTGTCTTTAAGTGTTGTTCCGTTGTTCCTGTCAAAATTATATTTTGATATCTGTCAGTTGAGTCGTCGTTCCGAGAATTGGTGGGCAAATTAGTAGAATAGGTGAATACGGCAGCTTAATTAACAAAGCAAACGTCTGCCGACACAAGAGGTAGAAAGGTATAATAGTCGTCCCGGCAAATTGTGGCATCCGCTTTTCCAGTTTCCTTAAATTTGATCGCTGGTTTCACCTGATTTGTAAGCTGTCAGTTTTCATGGTTTTTGGAGTTTATATGCAGTTTCAGGGCAGTTTTTATAATCCTCAACCATACACTTTCGTGAGGCGGTTTTGCTTGCTGTCTCTTCAAATTCCATTTTGATGACAGAACACAGAGAAGATTAGGATGCTGGCGAATGCATTCCAGTTAGACTACTTATTAATGATCACATAACGCATTTCTTTAATCCGATGTAGAAAAGGAACACCCGAAATCAGTTATGACATACACCGTTTCAGATAAACAGACACCTGCGGTATACTTCGGATAACTCAGTTGACCGATGAGATAAACATGCTCACTCGAGCGGCAGTCGCATATTTCACTCCAAATTCGCACACAATCCGATTATTTCCCGGTAAATCGTGAACACATTGCGATGCCCGCAACAAGCTCACAAAGATGGGTTGTAAAGGTAAAAATGAAAAATGGTCTGCTCGGTGGTCCAGTGGGCAGTAAGTATGCTCGCGGTCCACCTCTGAGGTCCCCGGCTCGCTCCCCAGAGGGGTTCACACTTCATTTGCTCTGCATACGACAAAATTCATTATATAATTAAGTCAAATCTTCCCCTAATCCCACATCAAACTTTATGTCAGGACAGACTATATTAAGTACGAAAATTTCTTTCACCCATTGGTTCAATAAAGTGCAATGTTGAATTGATCTATCCGAATGAAATAAAAATTCACTATTAATCACCTGATTTGACACTGCAGTTGGAATACTTGTAACCATCCTTTTTATGTGTTCTAGCTGATCGGAGCGATAACACGCGTGATTTTATGCCGTCAAGTTTACTTTTACTCAAAAATTCCTTCCATTTCAGTACGATAAACAAGATGAAAACGAGGCAAAAATATTGGACTCTTTCAACTATTTCTTCACTGCCATTTTCACAGTGGAGTTTGTACTTCGTCTGTCCGCGTTCAGTTTCCGGGTAAGCGATGTATTTCGCGCGTTCTGCCTGTTTTATTTCCTTGCCATCTTTCGAGATTCCGATCACATTTGTCTGTACATACTTGCCTTTTTTACCCAGCAGTTCTTCACGTGATCTTTCATCCATCTTTCTGTCTGATCTTTCCCTGTCTCTGTTACAGCATTATTTCAGTGATATTTGGAATGTGATCGACTTCGTCCTTGTTCTCGGAAGCTATATAGATATTATCGTAACTCAGGTAAGCAATAGTGGTGAATGGTTTTCCGGTACGCGTACTTTGCTTATTGATGTATGCGCGTCAGGCATTCATCGCCGGATGCACATTACATTGGACTTCGGTTAATGAGCTGCTCCGATAGATCCTCAGGGCTACGGTTTATGTGCAGTAAACCACAACCTGTTCATAACTATGATTCTAAAATAATACTCCCGATCATCTCGTCCCTTCAGATGTACATTCTATTACTCACAGGTGATGATGCACAGAACAGGTATGTGTAATAGAGCATAGGTGAGAGATGATGGAACTAAAAGACCTGTCTTGTTTTTATAGATAGTACAGAGAATAGATTATGTGTGCACTCGTTACAATAAACAAAATATTAAACCGTCTTTATGCTTGTACTAATTGTATGGCAGTCGCGCCGGATTTATTCCTAGCTGGAGTGTCAAAGCGAGTTTAGCTGGTTGTATTCTCCCGGGTTCTCATCTGGGGGATTTGGTGGCGATGTTCAAGTGGTACGAGTCATTATCACTTTGCCTCGGCGGTGGCGTGTTCGAATCCCACTACAATTGCTACCTGACTATTTCCTCCTCTAGTTTGTATCATTGATTAACCACTTTCTCTGTTGTAGAAAAAAAATCATGCAATTATGTATTTCAGCAAAGAAGTAACAGAGCAAAAGAAGCATAATAATAATAATCGTTTTTCTTACTTTTACTGAATGTATAATAATACGAGGAGCCTTACGAAAGGAAGGTTGCAGATATTTAGGGACGGTCTGGAGACACAAATACGAGGAAGAGGGTTGGGTGGTGTTGCTCCTATGTAAAAGATTGTTATTTAAGACATTGTTTTCATATATTTTCTTTCATATTCTGTCTTGGTAGTAATGGTGTGAGTAAGGATCTTGCCATGGATTAGTGAAGAACCCTTAACTCATTTCCTCATACTTTCTCCTTATTTTGCACCGCAGTCTGACATTTCCAAAGTCAAATTCAGCGTCAACTTCTTCCGTCTCTTTCGTGTGATGAGGTTGGTAAAGTTGTTGAGTAAAGAAGAATCGATACGACAGTTACTTTGGACTTTTATCAAATCCATCCAGGTAAGTGACTGTTCCGCTATGGGTTTGCGAACGGAGCTGAGAGTTGTATGAATAACCCCATTTCTTCAATACATGGTGCGTATGTTTATATTTGGCTTAAATACTGCTCAAAGGAAGCAAGATGCATACAATTGTCATAGAGGAACAAAAGTGTGGAAAGAGAACGAAGGTAGGAACCATAAGAACGAAGTATAATGGGTTTTTTTAGTGTTGTATACTGTACAGGTATGGGTTTTTCTATTGTTCGCCTTTTATATAGAGCGAGGCTGTACGAGTTCATCGTAAACGTTTACCGAATTCGTTTCACCGATTTCAATTCCGAGCCACATCCCTTAGTTTCTAATCCACGGAATTCATCATCTCCGTTCACTAGTTGGGCAGCTGAGAAGCGATGTGGACCAACGCTTCCGTTCCCTACTACGTACATAGGCCGATTTCGGATTGCGAGTTTACCGCTCCTACACTTCTTCCAACCATGTCCATGAGTCGTAAACAACAATCAGCACAGAAGGCGGTACACAGGCATGTATAGTTGTAGGTATCCTAAACACCGAAGGTGGTGGCTCAGTAAGGCTGGAGTTTGATTCCCAGCCCATAAAATATTTTGTGGTCCCAAAGAAAGAGAGGAACAAGATACCTTGTGAAACCGTCTTTTAATCAAGATCAACGCGACTGAGAAAAAAATCGGAGTGAACTTCGATGAAAGTTGTTCTTCGTTCGACAGAACTATCTTCCGTGGGCGGTACTGAAGCAGCTCATGATGCCACGCTTGCAGCTGGAGTGCTCCATACAATTAATCAACGAATCCTGGGTACTGTCGAGATATTTATGCTAAAATTAAATTCTGCTTCACTGCACTTATGGATGTTTCCATTATCGTCTCTTTCGGTGGATGTTTTCTTTATCAATCACACTGAGAGATGTTGATACGGTTGCGCACCGATGATTAGGAGCTCTCATTTGTCTCTATTGGAGCAACTTCCGGTCTTGACTTTTTGTTTTCTCGAATTTATTCCATCCCTCCACACTTTTGTTTGTGCTACTTCGTTGTTTATGCTGTCCCCATGCGCTCGTTCATGACACTGCTCTTTTTGTAGAAATACCACTATTAAACAGAGTGGTAATTTGTACATTAAATGTTATGGAAAGGAGATTACATTCACAAAGAGTCCACAATGTAGGCGGTGCCAAGCGAAATACAGCTCTAGATGGTGACAATGGGATCTAATTAATATTAGTAACTATGGACAGAACATTTTAAATGCGTGTCACTTTTTGATTGGATCTGTTTTATATTCAGATTCTCCACTGGCATATCATGTATTTTAACATATACCTGGAACTAAGATGAAAGGTTGATTTGAAGTGGGGGTAAAAACATGCAACATATTGTGTGCTTACACAATATGCTTACACAATCTTGGTGGTCTCATTTCCAGACCATTACAAATTCAGTGGAATATCCAGGTCTTGATCAAACTCGTGCAACATCACTCTCATTTTGGAAATACATTTCAGTTTCCAACATTATACTTGTATATTGATGGTAAAGTTTATTTATTCCTGACTTTATCTCCCGCATCTATGTTTTTAGTTCTCTCCTAACACTGTTTGAATTTGCGTGACCTTGAGTGTTGCGATACAATTTGTAGTAGTTCGAAAGTTAGCTGAGATTTCAAAAACATTTTACTCCAAGCAGCATGGGAAATCATCCTTTTTAAGAAATGGTTTCTATTCCATGAGAGTGTTCATTAAGTTGAGCAAACGTATTCAAAATTCCCCATCTGTTTTCATTCAGCTCACAGCAAAAAAGCGGATTAATGGAAATATTCCGGCTTAAATAAATTCATAAATCATTTGGCTATAAACTACTCAATACTGAAAGAACTGAAAACATAGTCCAAGAAACATAGAAGTTGATCTTCGAAAGTTGACCTTGAGGTGTACGGCTCGTTGAATAAGCATCTTGTAGTTTCACCATACCCAAACCGGTTGAAACATTCAACAGGTTTTGGCAATTATTTAAAGCCTAGAGGCAACTTGATCGAGAGACGCATAAATCCGATGACTCAGTTGGTGTCTTGTGGAAGTGCTTCGATGTGAACATAAGTCCAATTTGTTGCATATTCAACGAAATTTCTCCACAAAACCATAAACCGAGAGGGAGAAAATCGATCGTATCAAAGCAAGACGATGGTTGTATTTGACCGCAGCAGAGAACAGTTGCACAAATCCAATCTGGAGCATAGTCCGGGCAAATAAGCCCTCAGTGCACACAGCCGTCCTACTCCAGTCCTATACAGGTGCTATTGGAGTCCTATCCGAGTTCCATTGGAGTCCGGTTGCACCATAAGCGGGACTCGTATGGGACTCGGACAGGAATCGGATAGGACTCGAATGGGACTCTATGGGGCGGCTCCCCAAAGGAATGCCTTACATTCTATTAAGCATCGCTTACATTTCTCCAAGCTCGCACATGCTTACACACGAACTAAATGATATGTATCTAAATTTAATCCCCACCAATGTTAGTTTATCGTGCATCATCCTAATCGTTGAATAACGAAATCCACTTATGACGTTTACCACCCGAAACCCCATTTCAATATAAGAAGTAATACAAAGGGCACATGGGAGTGTGCATTTGACATCAAAGCTGTACAAGATTTCCTTATTGACCATCAGAAAAATCTTTTGGTTGGTTTTCTTTGTTGCACTCTGTTCTGTGTCTTTTCCCGGGCTTTCTGAATTCATCTTTGTATTCTCACGTACTTTGGCGTGAGTTTCACCCGGGAAGTTCTTTTTCATAGTGCAATCTACATAGCGGTGTACACTTACATAATACAGCACGCTTACCGACTACCAACTTCTCAACATAAGTAGATTGCATTTCATACTTGTTGTTAGTGCCAAACATACGAATGTGAAACCAGTTCATGTAAACAAACTGCGAACTGATTTAACCGCTACTAAAATACACAATTTCAGTGGTTTGCAGTATTTAATTTATCAATTGCAAGTAATTTATTCGGTTCATTTTTCGTATTACATTAAAATTGAGTATGTTCAGTCCCGGCGCAACTCGAATACGACTCAAATAGGACGGTCAACCGTCCCGCTCTGCGGACAGGTCCATTTTTTCCTCATGCCTACCTTTGTAAAACGGTGGCTCAATTTCAAATACAGCTGAATCCACGTGATGTAAAGCTGTTATGCAACGCCCAACAAAGCAATAGACGTATTGCTTTTGCCAACAATTTCAAATCCCGTCGCCCGTCTATTTGGCAATGGGTTTATCTCACTGGTGCCCAACGAGTAATTCAGCTTGCAGTGAAAGCAAATATACTATGCTAGCCTTCTGATAAATTTCGTTTCACCTATAAAAGAAGTAAATATTCATCCCACCTGACGAGTTAGAACGAAATTAAATACCGAATGCCTTGTTATTGGTCTCCTGCACACACTAATCTGGATATCGCAAATTATCTTGCAATGATAAAGGAGGTTTTCGGTAACGGCTACTCTTTAAATGCATTCGCGGAAGTTACCTTTTTGATCGATGAAGTTTTGTATTTTTTCTCGCGTGAGGTTTGTGGTGGAAAACCGTTAGAAATAATTTAATATTATTTTTTTCACATTTATACAGTCTCTGGTGGGGTCAAGTCCAATGTCAAATTCATTCGATTACCGCGCAGCAGCTGGGATTTTAATCTAATCGAAACCTCTCCCTGTATCAGAAACAGGGATAAGCTAGCTACCTCAACATTGGTCGTCAGTGGTAAGGGTGTTGGGTGTATTAGAGAAAACTTCCAAATTCTGTTTGACAGGCAACTTGGTGGGCTGCATGCTAAAGGGACTGCCTGCGGTGCTCAAAAATGAAGAAGGGCAAATGGAGCATGGAAGTATAATACCTGTATGAGGTCCATGAGTCATTTTAATAAATAAATTATAGTTACATTTTCTACTGTGACTTTGTTATTTCACGAGTGATGCACAAGCAGTCATCGTCAAAATCGTGAAATCGTACATTTTAATGGCATGTGGCCAATAGAAGAAAAGACATAAGTGGGTATCATATCAGATATGTTGCCCCTGATTTGGGGCAATGCCATGTGCGATCCCGTGAATGACGCTGGAAAAATGAAGCGTTTAAATGAACAAATGTGATGAAAATCAGGATGTTTCACGAGTTTGGTAAATACCTGTATTGAAACCCACACCCATCCATGTCTTGTAGGTGTTGTCGACTGGTAAATGACGTCTTCGCATCACTTGCAATTCGGTTATTCTGTTTTAAACTAAGGGTTCGATTGCGTACACAACTAAGGCTGTAAGACATGAACGCAAATCAAAGTGATAGTTTCTCAAATCAATCTTGAAATGGTATACTGCTGAGGTACGTGAAACCGAATTACTCTGGTGAGATAGATAGGTAGATGTTGGTGAAGTCCGAAAAAATGTCGATCGGATGTTGTCTGATCTTGAGCAATTGAGCATTAACAGAATTACTTTAAACCCTAATCTCTCCGCCGAAGGGAGTGCTTATCCGGCATGCTCGTAGCAAGAGATTATGGAAAACATGTGTTCACTTCCATGCCACGATTTCACAAGTTAGATATCTTCAGTTTTGTATCAGATGTTTTGTCGTGGTTTATTCGTCTTTTATTTTTTTCCAGATCAGATGAAGCTTTCGTTCGATTAATTCACCTTTCGATTTTCCTGTTTCCTCCTCTTTCATAGGCTTTACCTTATGTTGCTCTGTTAATTGCCATGATCTTCTTCATCTACGCTGTCATTGGTATGCAGCTGTTCGGTCAAATTTCCATAGAAGAGAATGTTCTGGACGAGGAAGTGCCGATTATAAACAGAAACAATAACTTCCAGAATTTCTTCTACGCGCTACTCGTTTTGTTCCGGTAATTTATTTTTACCCTTTGTACTATCACCATCAGCTACAGCAATAAACCATACCAATAGCGTACGATGTGAAGAGTTATAGGATATTTAATTTGTACCCTAGATCATTTATCTTTATGCTTTTAATTATTTATTAGTATTTATTCATTTGATCACTCAAGGTGAAACCACAAAAAACTGATGCCCACGATTAAACGTTTTTGACAGTATTCAGGATCGTTCTTGCTTCAAGCGGGCAGACCAGTTGACTTTTATGTTACTTCAAACCCAAGAGATTTTTGCACATTTTCACCGGGACAATCGATATCATTCGTAGCCTTCCACTTAAACTTTTATAGATCAGGAGACGGTTTCTGACGCATTCCTCGGAGGCTTTACACAATTATTACCTATTATATCTCACAAACGTCTGACGCCAGACTGTGTGTCAAGCAAATCATGGCACAGTAAATTTTATAAAAGAAAAAAAACGTTCCATGTTTTGTACATGGGTCGAATACGGCTAGGTGAATGTTCTTGAGGAACTACAAGCGGAGCCTTCTGCTAGCCAAAGCCTGACCCACAAGGCAGCGGGGCGGTGTGTGAAAACCGCAATCCATTGGGGGCCGATGTCCAGTTCATCCGATCATTACCTGGTTTCATTGAATATGTCTTTTACGTACTCCTCTCGATCTAAATGGAGAGTACTTTGTGGCTGAAATAAATCCAACACTTGTATTCATACCACGAGTTTTTTTGTGTCTAAATGACGAATTTATACCAATTGCTGATGAGAACCAATAAAGTCCTAACAGCTTTTCGCTGCTTCCTAGCTTTGCAGTTCACATTTCCCCTGCTTTCTCTTTATTAGATGAAATGCACCGTGCAATCCAAATGAATTCTCTAATCATCTCTCATAAATTGATTAAGCTCATTCAGTTCGTTTACATATGACGAGTAATTGCTCGTTGTCGAACATCCTATTCAAATCGGAAGTCCCTCTCATTTAATCTAACTGATCCGGATTCTGCAGTCGCGGCGATCAAGATTTCCCGAATGATGTGCACCACTGCCATCCGAATACAGATGAAATTGCATTCTGGAATTCTCTTTCAAAATTCCAACTCATCTTTTCTATTCCGTACACGATTTTTCTCCTTTGATCTTACACAGTACAATATCTCCTCGTATTTCAGATGCGCCACCGGGGAATCGTGGCAAGAAATTATGCTCAAATGTACAGCAGGTATGTTCCTAGTTGTTCATTATCAATTTGTGATGCTGTCACTGATAAATTACCAGCTAGTACTGACGAGAAAGATCGTGCGAAAGAGGTTTTATCAAAAAAAGACTATTGGTTCATAAACTACTACGTGATAAACAGGTTCAATTTAGAGTTGGTTTTAAATATTAGCCAATTTTGTTTTATCGAGGTGGGGCTTTTAGTCTTGTGTGAATCTGTTTCATTTTAATAAGTGAGCAGATCTCATGCACACATGATTCGTTTTTTTCCTCAAGAGTCGATCAACTCAGCCTCTTATTCGTGAATTGAGGAAAACTGATTGTGGATAGTTCCTTGACGCTTTGATTCCATTCACCTGTGTATTTGACAGAAGGTACTAGGGTAAAGGTGACAAACGAAAGGGAATCTATGAAGTTACAAGTATGAATGCGTAAAAAGAACATTGGAAAAATTCAACATAGACATTGTTTATGCACTAGGACCATAAATTATTGTGGGAAGGGGATGTAAAGGTGTTGGTTTATAGAATGCGTTTTCTTCGCTATCAATGAACGTGATTTATTATGTTCACCCCTGTTAGAAGTTAGAAAAGGGCCTCATGAAATCCAGTTACATCTTCAACCAATGACGGTTGTACTTGCAAGGTGCCTTTAAAGCATTCTGCATGTTCCATACGTTTCGACCAATCGGGTTCCTTCATCACTAGTTCATGAATACCAAGTAATTTTTTTGAATTTAGCACTGGGGGTTTGAAGCCAGAAGCATTTATATACATTATTTGCCAACTCCTTCGTGGTCACTGACTCATTTGTTGGTTTCTGGTCTATAGAAAAGGCTCTTTTTGGGTTTTCCACAGTTGAAGCAACCAGTTTTCAGTTCGGATGCTTGGTACTTTCGCACGTTACCCGCAATCTCATACCTGACGCGTTCAGCCAGACCAACTGATTTTTGTCACCGTCTGTTAGCTCCATCTTGCGATAACTGCCACGTGACCTGTTTTGCACAACAAGCAAAGGTCAAAAACAAATGGTCAACTGTTCCACGTTTCATGTACAGGCGGTTCCGATGACGGAATAGGGTGAATGGGTTTGCCAGTGGGTTGCCATTTGACCCAGTTTTATCGCCTTAAAGTACATGTTGAGATTGCTACGGCCTGACGATATAACGTCATTGACCGTTGCTCAGGTAATCCAACGATGACTGAACTGTTGCGTAATAAGCTTAATCAAGTGACAACAACTCTGTAAGCTCCGTCCCCCCACCCCGTTTTGTTTTATGAATAATAACTTTTGTCGTTACATTGAAATCACATATTGTAGAAAATTGAGAATAAAGAATCAAAAAGAATTATTCTCCTCATTGCTCTTTTAAATGAATAACAACTGAATGTTTCTACTCAACAAGGTGATGCCGATCTGTTGAATGATCTCGATAATAACTGTGGACGGATTGCATCCACAGCTTTCGGGCACAAAAAATGAGATGATGCAATCTCATTAAGAACGTTTCAACCCTTTGTTGCTCAATTGAGGTTGGGAATACGAGGCAATATTAATGCATTTTTGCTGGCATTAGATGTTTTGTCGTAGATTGCCCTGGTATCCTTGTTACCACCCGATTTTCGGGTGTGGGCTGTCATTATCTTCAAAAGATACTTCGGCATTCCTTTAGGATGATCACCGATGGTTTGTTTTACTTCTGTATGCGTCACTGCCACAGCAGATGAACTGTTACGCGCAGTGTGGAGCTGAACTGGCTTGTCAACCGAGTTAAAATCTGCCCAAGAGTATACGAAATTAGTCTATCTCTCTTTCACTCACTTGCCAATTTATTTTCATCCGCTCGACCTACAGGTCAGAAGTGTTCAAAGGACTCAGACGATCGTGAAACCAACGAATGCGGTTCGAAGTTGGCTTATCCGTACTTCATCAGCTTCCATGCAATCAGTGCCTTCCTGGTAAGCGACTTGGTCATACATGCAGTTGCATTCAAGTGGTTTAAAGAAGACGTTATTTCTCAGATGAACTTTTCAAGTATTCGTCCATCATCTACTGTCAAAGCTGTTTCCCTCTTCTCCTCCCCATAGGTGATCAATCTCTTTGTCGCTGTCATCATGGATAATTTTGATTATCTAACTCGTGATTGGTCAATTCTGGGCCCCCATCATTTGGATGAGTTTGTCACCAAGTGGGCGGATTATGATCCGGAAGCAAAGTGAGCACACATTCCACACACCCGCTTTCTCATGGAATCTCACACCCTCGTCTGAGATCTATGAGTTCTCGTCCTTAAAGTATATAATCTCCTCTGTCAAAGGTCATATGCCGTTCGTGAAGGCAAAATTTGAGCTTTAAACTTTTCACCGTTCGAATCAAAGTGGGTGTAATGGGTTTTCATATGCTGTGCAATATTCGAACATTACAAAAAATATCACAAAATCACCGTTGGATGAAAAGGATAAGGAAAGCTTGATTATCGAGACTAATATGAAATTAACATTTTAAGCCTTGTCCTCTGTGCCCTCAATTGTCGCAATCGACAAGGAGATGGAAACGTTAAATAAGTCGTAACTAACTCGGGCGTTTTATAGCCGAGATTATGATCTGCCTCAATATCCTGATTTTCTTGGGATGCACGGGGACTACACCGAACACCTAACAGGTGTCATATATATATCTATATATGTTTAATATTTACCACCGGCTTGTAGACAAACATAGTGCCAACGGTACAACAATATTAACAATAACCGTAATGATGGATTGGGGCACAGAGCAAAGTGGAAAGAGGGTGAAACAGTTAAATACGAGAAAATGGAAGATAACTGGGAGAACGAAAGTTTTTGTGTTTCACCGTACACATTTTTAAATTTTTGTTGTTGTTATTTTCGACAGCATTCACGTCACTGATTTCTATTCTGAGCCATATCTCACAGCATCTCTAACCAACGACAATGCTCATCCCTTGAGCCCCAACCTGGAAGGCGGGCTGCACCAACCGAAGCCAAAGCTGAAGCCAGCTTATTCATGCCTCTAGCGATTACTTCCGTTGGAGGACGACTATCCACACCCAACACACGACGATGAACCTCGTCAATACTCATCCGGTGTTCCCACCAGACTCGAGTAATGCTTCGGAGACATCGGTGGTCGAATACACAAAGTCGATTAGCGTCCTCAACCCTAAAGGAGAGCGTTACGAACCGCCTCGATGTACGCCCTACCCTTAAGGGACAGTTGGATGTCATGGCGGCGCCACAGGTGTCGCAGGTTGGCGAAAGCTGCTCTAGCTTTCGCTGTTCGTAATGTGATGTCGTCCCCAACACCACCACAAGCTGCGATCAAGCTCCCGAGGTACTTAAACCTCTCAACTACTTCCAGTTGATTACCACAGAGGGTGAGTGCAGGCACAGGCTCCTGCCAGTCTTGAACGAGCACTTTGCACTTGGAAGGTGCAAAACACATGCGATATCTGGATACCTCGATCGCCAAGCGATTCAAAGCGTCTTGGACTGCCTGGGTTTTGTCAACCAGCAAGGTGA